GCCATTAATAGTTGGAAATGATATGGATCAATAAAACTTTTCTATTGTTACAAAATATTTTGCTAATAACTGTATCTGTAAATATATCAATATATCCTTATAGTATATAGTTTTTTTTTTTTCTTGGATTTATTTGAGAGAAAGAGATTGAGAGAACGAATGGGAGGAGGGGCAGAGGGAGAAGCAGACTCCCCACTGAGCAGGGAGCCTGACGCGGGACTCGATCCCAGGACCCTGGGATCCTGATCTGAGCTGAAGGCAGATGCTTAACCAACTGAGCCACCCAGGCACCCAGTATATAGATAGTTTTGCTGCACTCAATCACAGACTGTGATTTAATCCATTTATATTGATGGACATTTGTCACTTTTTTCTATTATACGTACTGCTATAATAAATAAATATATTTTTATATACATTTTGTACACCTGAGGGGGTATATCTTAAGTATATATTCCCTACTCAAAATGTAAAACAAGATCACCATATGACTCAGCCATCTAGGATTTACCTGATACTGTTGGCTTGAGCTGCTATAACAAAATACCACAGACTGAGTGGCTTAAACAACAGAAATTTATTTTCTCACAGTACTGGAGGCTCAAGTCCAAGGTTAAGGTGTCAGCCAATTTGGTTCCTGGCTTGCAGATGGCTCTCTTCTTACTGTGTCCTCACATGATAGAGAGAAAAAATAGCTCTCTCTCGTCTCTTCTTATAAGGACACTAATCCTGTTGGATCAGGTCCCTACCCTTATGATCTCATTTAAACATAAGTGCTTTCATAAAGGACCTATCTCCAAATATAGAAATATTGGAGGTTGAGGCTTCAAAACGTGAGTTTTGGGGGAACATGACCACTCAGTCCATAACATTACCCAAAAGAAATGAAAAAATACACCCACACAAAAACTTATAGGCAAATGTTTGTAGTGACATTTTTTAAAAATATTTTATTTATTTATTTGAGAGAGAGAGAATGAGAGATAGAGAGCATGAGAGGGAAGAGGGTCAGAGGGAGAAGCAGACTCCCTGCTGAGCAGGGAGCCCGATGTGGGACTCGATCCCGGGACTCCAGGATCATGACCCGAGCCGAAGGCAGTCGCTTAACCAACTGAGCCACCTAGGTGCCCGTGACATTATTCATAATAGCCAAAAAGTAGGAACCACCCAAATGCCTGTCAACTCACAAATGGATAAACAAATATGGTCCACCCATGCAATGGACTATTCTTCAGACTTAAAAAGAAATGAAGTTGGGATCATGACCTGAGCAGAAGGCAGTCGCTTAACTGATTGAGCCACCCAGGCGCCCCCCTCTACTGATGACCTAGGTTCTTTTTTTTTTTAAGAGATTTTATTTATTTTTATATACATTTTGTACACCTGAGGGGGTATATCTTAAGTATATATTCCCTACTCAAAATGTAAAACAAGATCACCATATGACTCAGCCATCTAGGATTTACCTAGATGGTAAATACCTAGAGACACAGCGAGAGAGGGAACTCAAGCAGGGGGAGTGGGAGAGGGAGAAGCAGGCTTCCCGCAGAGCAGGGAGCCCGAAGCGGGGCTCGATGAGGGGCTCGATCCCAGGACCCTGGGATCATGACCTGAGCTGAAGGCAGACGCTTAATGACTGAGCCACCCAGGCGCCCCCGCAGACCTAGGTTCTTTTGTTATACTCTTATGTAGCTATGTAAAACAAGGCATAAGATTCTCTAGGGAAGGCCTTTGTTTTTCTTGTTTTGAAATTCAATCCATTTATTGAAATATATATTGTACATGACTTACAAATCTTCACTTCTGTCACTCTGCTAGAACTTTTCCGGAAAAGCCTCCATTTCCTCGATCCTCTTTCCACAAGTAATGGAAGTGACTGTGCTTTGAAGGTTACAGCTGACGAACACCTGTTCGTTGCTCTCCCTGGCTAAGTGCTGGGCAAGGCCAGTGGATGTCCTATCAGAAGTGTCTCTGAGGAGGGAGGCAGACACAGGGATGGAATCGTAGCGATTGCATAAGGCCACAGCGACACTCTGCCATCCTAATTCTTCCTAATCCCATCTGTTTCCCTTTGGCAAATTACCACTCCACAGTGTCCTGTCTTCCCATACAGAAACCAAAGGGTCCTGGGAGGTTGCTATGTCCTTCTCTTACTGCTACAACCGAAGGGTAATATGTGACCTAATCCTGGCCAGCTGGATTCTGCTTCTAGGGAGATTCTTCCCTTCCCTTCCCTTCTTCCCTTCCCTGCCCTCCTCTTCCTTTCCCTCCCCTCTGCTCCCTTTCCCTCCCCTCCGCTCCCTTTTCTCCTTGCCTTTCTCCCCTCCCCTCCCCTCTCCTCTCTTTTTTCTGTTTAAATAGGCTCCACACCCAGCATGGAGCCCAATGGGGGGCTTGAACTCATGGCTGTGATTTCCAAACCTAAGCTGAGATCAAGAGTTGGACGCTTAACTGACTGAGCCACCCAGGCACCCTTCCATGGAGATTCTTGAGTGGAAAAAACTGTTGGCGTCCCCTCATCAGACTCTGACCAAATGGCTAAATAGTACTTGCTGTTAACAGTTATTTTCTGGTTCTTGTTCTGTCTTGGTTATTTGTCCTGAACCCGAACCTGGTGATCCCTTCAGTAAATTCCCTTTGGTTCTTAAGGTAGGCTGATCTCCCAAGCTATAGGAAGAGAAAAACAAGAAAGCACAAAGTGGCTTCAGAGATTTACAGTAAGTTGCCACCATGTGAAAAAGAATGAAATAAAATTATTTACATAAATTATCCCTAGAGTGGAATATAACATTATTGGTTTAAATAACCTGCTTCATTTTCAGTTTCCTTTACTTAGTTTTATATGTCCAATTCTTTACGGTTGACTTAATATGTCAGCTTTTCTTTAGTTTTTAAATTTTGTTTTTGAAGTAATCTCTACACCCAACATGGGGCTCAAACTCATGACCCTGAGATCAAGAGTCACAAGCTCTACCAACTGAGCCGGCCAGGTGTTTCAATCTGTCAGCTTTAATAAGTCATTTCTTTCTTGTAAAAATATTGACATGAGTTAGAATATCATTTATTACAACTAAATCTCTTTTTACTTTTCAAGTGTTAATTCACATTTTAAAATTTCTGTTAAGTGACTTTACAAGTTTTGGTAAGATTTACAAATTACTTTGTAGCTTACCATTAAATATCTTCTATTATTCATTAAAACAATTCTCAGATCTTCAGATATAGTTTTCTTTCTCTATGTACAGTAACAAATATAATTCAAGGATAATCAATTGGTCATTCTCCTAAAGCATACAGTGCTTTATAAAGAATGCACATAGGGGCACCTGGGTGACTCAGTAAGTTGAGTGTCTGACTCTTGGTTTGGGCTCAGGTCATGATCTCAGGGTCGGGTCGTGGGATCAAGCCTCTTGGGCTCCGTGCTCAGCATGGAGTCTGTTTGGGATTCTCCCTCTCCCTCCCCCCACTCCCCAAAATAAATAAATGAAATCTTAAAAAAAAAAGAGGGACCCTTGGGTGGCTCAGTCGGTTAAGCGTTGGCTCAGGTCATCATCTCAGGGTCCTGGGATTGAGTCCTGCATCAGGCTCCCTGCTTAGCAGGGAGCCTGCTTCTCCCTCTGCCGTTGCCATTCCCCCTGGTCATGCTCACTCTTTCTGACAAATAAATAAAATCTTAAAAAGAAAAAAAGAATGCACAAAATATAACAGCTAGTGCTAAAGTGTTTTCCAGACATCTCTGTGAAAAGATGCCCATTAATTGTCATAAAACATCCTACACAATTAACTTGAACTCATCGGTTAATATTGAAACTTACATTACTAACATTATTGCTTATTGCACTACTATATATTTTACTTATATTTATAGCTTATATTTATATAGCTAGTATATAGTAAAAATAAGCCATACCATCGTTAAGGTCCAGTATATTCAACCACATAAAACGTGAGGTTGCATTACTATAAGATTAATGAAATAACCAGAGGAAGTCTGTAGTAGCCAACTGGAGGTGGGGACGGTTTGAGGAGCCGAACGCCAATTGCGTTATATCTGAATTCACATTATTGTGGGGTCCTTTATAATGAGTCTTTTTCTGTATTCTAACCACCAAATATCAGCCTTATACGTATGGCAACAAAACCTGTTCTAATGACAGGTAAAATGCAAAGTAAGGGTCAGATAAGAGACATCTCAAAGGACAAATCCGGGTGCCTGGTGGCTCAGTTGATTAAACACCTGCCTTCAGCTCAGGTCATGATCCCCGAGCCCTGGGATAGAGCCCCGCGTTGGGCTCCCTGGCTCAGTGGGAGACTCCCCCTCCCCCTGCTTGTGCTCTCTCACTCTCGCTCTATCTCAAAATCTTAAAAAAAAAAAAAAAAAGGGACGATCGCGATGCCTGGGTGGTTCAGTCAGTTAAGCATCTGCCTTTGGCTCAGGTCATGATCCCAGGGCCCTGGGATTGAGTCCCGCATCGGGCTCCTTGCTCAGCGGGGAGCCTGCTTCTCCCTCTCCCTGCAGCTCTCCCTGCTTGTGCTCTCTGACAATAAAATCTTAAAAAAAAGAAAAAAAAAAGGACAAAGCTATAGGACTTGGGATGACTGGATAGAGGAGATGAGGGTAAATAAATTACTCCTGGATCACTTGAAGCATAAAGACGGTGATAGAAAAGACAGAGGTTGAAGTGGTTTCATTCCATTGCTTCGACTGGTAGAGGGATCGAAGGGAAGTACAGGTTGCTTTTAATTATGTTATTTCAAGGTGATGATGGAATGCTCAAATGATTAGGCAGTAACAGGACCTGAATTTGAGGTCAGGCTTTGGATAAAATAGTAATCACAGACAAAACAGTAAGCAGTCTAAGAATCCTTTCAGAAGTGAACATTGAGTAAGAAGCATCTGAGAAAGTTAGAGGTAGAACCACATTAACACAAAAGTTAACACTTGAAGTTTATGTTATCTTTTCACACTTTTTTTAATGGAAACCTTGAGAGGTGGGAGATTAGTTTCAAGTAGATTTATTCATTATAAATATTTACTAAGTGCTTCTGGGAATACAAGGGTGAATAAGTCACAGTCCTTGCCCTTAATGAGTTTCCAATGCAATGGGAGACAAGTAAAAAAGTAATTAGGGGCCCCAATTCCAGCACTAAAAATACTATTTAATAATTGGCTATTTACTTACTAGTCTCCATTACAGGAAGGAATAGTGTCTTTATCACTCTTACATCTCCAAAGCCCAGCGTAGATCTAGCACACAGGTGTTCAGGAAATATTCTAAAACAAATTAAATGAAAATAGTCTCAGCAATGATGAGTACTATTTTATGGCAGAGCATAAGCTGTGTGGGGAGAGTGAAGTGTTAGGAAATATCGTTAGTTATGGTGGGTTGGAGATCAGATTTTGGAAAGCCTTATATGTGATGCCAAGGGATTTATAGGTGGCAGTACTGAGGATTCAAAGAGAATGTCAGAGGGGTGCCTGGGCGGCTCAGCTGATATCTGGCTCTTGGTTCTGGTTTAGGTCATGATTTCACAGGGAGTGGAATTAGCCCAGCATCGGGCTCTGTCAGAGCACAGCATGGAGTCGGCTTCAGATTCTTTCTCCCCCTCATTCCCCCTGCGCTCCTCCCTGCTCATGTGCTCTCTTCTCTCTAAATTTAAAAAATCCAAAAAGCCCAAACAAACCAAAGAGAATGTAAGACACGGGAATGACAATCAGATTTATGCTTTGGAAAGCCCACTTTGGTTGGAATGCATGTTATTATAATAGACAAGTGCTTTCCAACTTTTAAACACTTTTAAGTGTGCACATAGAATGGGAGGCTGGCTGTACAGAACAACGTGCTTTGACCTGTATTCAAGGTCCTGGCTCTGCTCAGCAAATGCTTGAAGAAAAAACAAATCATCTGGTACCCAATAGGTACTTCATCCATGTACATTTCCTTCCCCTTCTCCTTCCTCTGAATACACTGATTAAAAAAAAGAGCCAACGGATAAAACTTGAGGATATATGGCAGGGGACTGAATAGGCCCTCAAGAGGCAGAAAGGGAGAGAAGCAAGAGCAGGAGGGCTTCCTTGGCCTAATGGCATGAGGACAAACAACTTTTCTTGAGCTGAAAGGCAGACAATTTGAAGACAGACCTAAGAAGTAGGGAGGAGGAAAGTTTGCAGTTTCCACTAACTGGGAAAAGAGTGGAAAAGCAGCAGGGGACATTAGACTGACAAATGTGAAAATTGCATCAGGATTAGATAAAGGGCTTATTGAGGCCTTAACATGTTAACCTGCAATGGTTGTAACAGCAGTTCTGGAAGCGCTCCCCGGCAGCATTGAGCAACTTGGGAGAACAAAGATGGGGGTGATTGGAAGCATCCAGGATTGGGAACTGGCAGGATGAGAAGGGCCTGAGGAAAGGAGGAAAGTGATCTGAGAAAGCTCTTGAAAGGCCGCCTTTAGTGAATGACTGCAGGGCATAGGTCAGGAAAGGAAGGAAGTCAAGTTAGAAGTTAACAGAGTGGAATAGAATAGAGAAGAGCTGATGGATTTAAAATCTTGCCGAAAGTGATTTGTGGCAACATAATTTAGCCTTCATTCTTTTGGCTTTGGCAAGGAAAAAAATCAATTTATTTTTTGAACCTCCACAGACCAGAAAATGTGAAAATGTTTTAAAATTACAGGTCTTCTACATGACAAAATCCAATTTACTTTGGTTCCAAGACACTCCTTTAAGCAGAAAAAAAAAATACTGTAGTTTAAACCTAAGTAGATAAATTAATATATTTTATTAGATTTAAACTACTCTTACATTGTTTTTCTTCTGTATTGACAACTGTGATTATAGTTCAAGTGAAAAGAATAGATTTTTGATTACTTAATGGATAAAATGACTCTTTTTTAAGTCCCCAATTCAAGGTCAAGCATTTCTGTCATTGACAAAGACCAGATACAAATGACAAAAGAATCATGAATAGCACCAGGCCAAGATTAATTTGATTAGGTAAGGGATAATCAATTTAAACAGTCTTCATCTTAAAGGTAAATATTTTGTCTATATAGTTAGCCTTAGATCTTTTTTGAATAATCTTTGTTTTTAAGTAATGGAGTCATAAACACAGAGTTCATTTCCATAATGCAGCATAAATACCCATGATTTTAAGTTTGCCTTGTATCAATTAAAATGGAAGATTCAAGCTATTTTAAAAGCTAGTAAATGTAGTACCCAACTCTTCAACGATTTCTGTTGAAGGCTTCAGCGAGATTTTCTCATAGAAGTACATAGTGATTAAATCTGATACAACATATTATAATGGAACCAAACAAGCAAAATGCAATGTTTCTGAAAAACAGTTTCATTTTGGGAGGTCAGCAACACTTGTAAATGAAGGAATCAGGGTTTTTCTTTTCTTTTCTCCTACCTCTTGTTGCCAGATGGCTCCAGGGGCTTGGTGGTGGAAAGTACACAAAAGGGATAGAGAGTCAGGGTTAAAGCACTATAAAGCTAATTAGTGCCTGATAGCATAGCCTTTGACTACTTTTCAGCCAGGCACTAGCTCTCAGGTTAACACTTCTCATTCCTTTAATCACAGAGATTAAAGATACCTACTTCCCTTTCTATTCAAGCACCAATTACCTTCAAGGGGGAGTAGTGACCTGGGTGGCAAGGAAAAGAACATTTCCCCCTGCTTTTGTACTTAAGGTGAGCAAACAGCTCTTTTATGATTTTTACTACTAACCAACAGGAAAATATAAAAAGGCTTAAATAAAGGCTCCTTCCTAAAATACTTTTTCCATGTACCCTTGTTTCTTCACAAATGGAAAGCCGTTGCTGTATCCAGATATTAATCAGTTTTTGGATCACAAATTACAAGGAAAAATGAATTTGGGCTAGCATACAAATTTCATTAGGTGGAGACTCCTTGGTTAAAGAGCAGAATTTGCTGGGCAGGAAGAAGAAAAAAAGGAAGGGGTAAGAAAAAAGACCAGTGCACTTACTATCACGGTCCGCTCTTTCATGGAAGACTTCAGTGAGGGAGTTTCCAAGAACAGACTGAGATATTCTAAGTAGCAACATTTAGGAAGAAAGAGGAGGTCCAGTGGTCTCTGGGCCAGCTCGCTATAGAAACTGGTCCCAAGGAGTCACTGGCTTGAAACTGGGGTAGACGAATGGGGAACTGCCCATACGGTACAGTTAGGAAGTATCTGGATAAAAATTCCTGGAAGCTGAAGTCTTCTTCTTCTTCTTTTTTTTTTTTTTAAGATTTTATTTATTTATTTGAGAGAGAGAATGAGATAGAGAGAGCATGAGAGGGAGGAGGGTCAGAGGGAGAAGCAGACTCCCCGCCGAGCAGGGAGCCTGATGCGGAACTCGATCCCAGGACTCTGGGATCATGACCTGAGCCGAAGGCAGTCGCTCAATCCGAGCCACCCAGGCGCCTCTGAAGTCTTCTTTATTGACAGAATCAACGGAACATTTGTGGCAGTTGTCCATAAGGTCCAAACATAGCACATTCTGACATTCAAATTAGACCTATTTAAATGTGGCTCCTTTTGATTCCTTCAACTTTGTATATGATGATTATCTGTACAAAGGGGTTCTAAATTGAAACAACCTCATTCACATCACCCCTATTCACTCAGTTTGTGGAGAGTGACAGCTTGATCCAAAGTTTTAAAAAAGTGATAGGCTAAAAGACAAAAAAAAATAGTCAGCTGCAATAAGCTACCAGGCCTAATCAAGAATGGCTTAATATTATTCATCCTCTTCTTTGAACATTTTGCTTAAGTGCTTTATTAGAGCTACAAGCTCAGGGTTCCCACCACGTGCATCAATTTGTTTATAGGCTTTAGATTCAAGCTCTTTAAGAGTACTCCGAGTGTATTCAAAAGAACCTACATTCTCAAGATAATGTACACAGTATTTTTTAATATCTACGTTTTCGGTTCTCTGGCGCAAGATATTCTGCACCTGGGTACTTTCAGGCCTTGACCAAATAGCGTGAATAGTAGGGAATGAAAACTTTCCCTCTGTTAGATCTTCACAAAAGCTTTTGTTTTCACTGTATTCTTTGGAGTGTAGATTAGCATAATCATCCCTAATTTGGAAAAAGAGCCCAAGTGTATTAAGTAGTGGCTTTAGATCTTCTTTGTAATCAGAGAACAACTGCATGAGACCTACTGCTAATCCAAATAGTCCACCTGTCTTTTGCAGCACCATCGCTTTATATTCTTCTTCGGTGGGACAAGTGTAATTATCCCTCCAATAAATATCTAGACCTTGTCCCTGATGGAGTTCCAAAAGCTGGTGGGTAAAAAGCTTCACTGCATCTGGGTGATCAAGGGTTAAGACTTTCTCTAGGCCAAGAAAATATACATAATTGGCAGAATTGATGACAGATGGAATTCCATAGATGCTGTGTGCCACTGGAAAGCCACGTCGGAGTTTTGAGTTGTCTTCGATATCATCGATGAGCAAACTGGCATTATGCAACATTTCTGTCACTTCAATGATAATCTAACAAAAAAGACAAGTGACAATTTAATTTTATTTGAGCTACTCAAAACAGCTTATAAATACTTAACAGATTATGAGTCTCAAATTTCTTAGTTTTTGCAATGAATAACTATTTAGCAACCTCAATATAAAATACATGTATGCGCATTAAACTCAATTACGAGCAAGAGGTATTTTATGTGACATCCATTAATCTATTAGGGATTAAGAATGAGGTTAGAATTGCCTAAATACCTGTAGCTTGTCTTCTGGAACTTTTAGCCAGTGATTAAATGCCTGTGAAAGTTTGGTTCTCACTTGTTTACCTGAAATTAAAGAATAAAATTTGGCAATAAAATTAATATTTGTTATTAAAAATACATTCAGAAACCTCCTTGAAAACTGTTCAGACTTGAATCCAGCCCCATCACTGCTGGGCCCCTACTGCCCCCTCTACCAAAATTCACATTCTAAAAGCTCACACTTTTGGAAATTAGGGCATGCGGAGATTCTAAAGTATTCAAATGGCCCACTAGTAAGCCCACTCCTTTCATCTTAGCTTGTATCAACAATTTTGGAATGAAATGGGCATTTTATGAACTATGATCTAATTCATTTCTTTTTTGAAAAATAAGTCAGTCTAGTCAGTGGCAGTTAATTAGCAATGTCTGTTTCAGAGAACTATAGGTATTTCTAATGAAATGTACTTTGCTATTGAATTCAGTAAAATCTCATAAAATTACCTCTTAAAATTACCTACCATTCCTTTAAATTAAGGTTTTAGAGATTGTACAACTCTGCTTCTTTCCTATCAAAAAATGAGATGACCATTCCCTGAAGTATTCCTTTTTAGCATCCCAGTTTGGTCCAAAGTTAATCTCTTTATTTTGACTAGGGCCATTAGTTTTTCAATATTATCATTTTCTTACGTGGAAAGCTCAAGAGGTTTTTGGGTAGTAGTTATCAATAGAAGCCATTTTCGCCCAAATATAAAGGAATGGTGGTTAAAAACCCCAACAAGATCTTTTAATAATGTTCTACGAGCTTCCTGCTAGAGGGAATGCACAGTAACATCTTAATTTCAGATGAGGTTTCAGAAAAAGTTACATAAAAAGTTTCAGTGAACAAAAACAGTATTTTTTTTGGGAACAAAAACCTGTTTTCTCTGCACCAGTCACCCAAGCAAATGAATACAGAAACTCTCATCACATATCCAAATGAAAGAAAGTTGCACTTTTTGTGAGAAGTCTAAAAGGGAAGGATCTCTTAAGGTTCAAGAAGCAGTATTTTCTGTCTACTAACCTTTAAGGTGAGCATGGTCCGGGTAGCAGCTACTTTTGATCTACTTTCCAGTTTAACAAAAAGGCCAATCTGAGCTATAGTTAAAAGCACATCTGTGCAAAGTAACCCATACTGCTTTAAAAAACAAGTTCAGAAGATGAAGAACACAAAGAATCAATGTAGAGCCATATTTTCCCTTTTGTTTTAGAATGTACATAGAAAACAGCACAATAAACGGCTTAACTTATAGATAATGCAGTTGTGTTTTAATCTTTTTTTCCTTTAACCAGATTCCGGGGTCTGGATTGATACTTTTAAGGCCCCAAATAGTTTCTAACAGGTACTAGTCATAGAGATCCCTCAAAATTAAAAGAAACAAATGATAATTATCTTTCCTCTTTATTTTTTAAAAAGATTTTGGAAGGAGAGAGAGTGCGTGAGTGGGGGTAGGGGCAGAGAGGGAGGGAGAGGGACGAGCAGACTCTGTGCCGAGTGCAGAGCCCGAAGCTAGGGCTTGATCTCATGAACCCAAGATCATGACCTGAGCAGAAGTCAAGAGTCTAATGCTCAACCGAGCCACTCAGGTGCTCCCAATTAGCTTTCCTCTTTAAAAGACCTTAATGTTACTAACTCCTGGCCTGGGCACCTACACTAGGGCAAATAAATAAAAGTCATTTTATTTCACGAATTTCAGAAAATCCTATTAATTATTAATTATTATAATCTTTTATTAGCAAGAGTAACTTTCCAACAGAATAAATGGCCTGGACCACCTTTAAGTCACTTTAGAAACTCTGAAGTTCTCTGTGAAAAATAGGTTTATTATCTATAATGCAATTTCCTATTTTTTTAAGATTTTATTAATTTATTTGGGGGGAGGGGAGGAGATCAGATATACGCGCAAAGTGGCAGGAGAGGGAGAGAATCTCAAGCAGACTCCTCATGGAGCCCAATGAGGGATCAATCTCATGACCCTGAGATCATGACCTGAGCTGAAATCATGAGATGGGCGCTTAACAAACTGAACCACCCAGGCACCTCCATTAAAAAATTTTTTTTTTAATTTAAATTCAATTTAGTTAACATTATACTGTATTATTAGTTTCTGGGGTAGAATTTAGTGATTTTATCAGTTGCATATAACACCCAATGCTCATTACATCAAGTGTCCTCCTTAACCCCATCACCCAATTCCCCCACTCCTTATTCTTTTTCCCTATTTCTTTTTAAAGATCTTTATTTTTATTTGTTTTGTAATTTATTTTTTAAAGATTCTATTTATTCATTTCAGATAGAGAGGGAGAGAGCACGAGTGGGAGGGAGGGGGAGAGGGAGAAGCAGACTCCCCACTAGTGGGGCGCCCGACATGGGGCTTGATCCCAGAACCCCAAGATCATGACCTGAGCCAAAGGCAGACGCTTAACTGACTGAGCCATCCAGCCATCTTCATCCAGACATGAAGATTTTTATCTTTTTAAGTATTTTCTATACCCACTGTGGAGCTTGAATTTACAATCCCAAGGTCAAGAGTCATATGCTCCACTGAGTCAGCTAGGTGCTTCATAATTTTCTATTTCTTTAGGAAAATCTTCTGAGGTTATATTCTATAAAGGATGCAAGATTATATTAAATTTTAAAAAAGTGAGATACATAACAAGAGATTTAAATGTTATCTAATGGCTTAAAATACTACTTCAAGAGGGCGCCTGGGTGGCTCAGTTGGTTGGGCGCCTGCCTTTGGCTCAGGTCATGATCCCAGGCTCCTGGGATCGAGTCCCGCATCGGGCTCCCTGCTCGGCAGGGAGTCTGCTTCTCCCTCTGACCCTACCCCCTCTCATGCTCTCTCTATCTCATTCTCTCTAATAAATAAATAAAATCTTTAAAAAAAAAACCTACTTCAGGATAATTAAAAAAAATGTTAACAAGTTCATTACACAGGTAAACAGTATTGCTAAAATGTAGCTACAGACAGTCCTTGTTTTGCACAGTAGCAGAACAGGAGACACTCTTTAGACTCTTTACAGCACTGATAACTGGCATGTTTTACCATAGTCCAGTTCTAGCCAGTGTTTGCAAACTTGTTACAAAATAAGTCCAACAACAGTAGAGTGCAGGAGAAACATGTTTCTCAGCAGGAGACCCTGAAGTAAGTGTAGTTACTAGCTGCTGAATAAATATCACTCAAAAGGGGTCTCTTGGTTTTTTCTTTTTGGGGGGGGGGGGTGTGTGTGGATGGGGCAGAGGGAGAGAGAGAATCTGATCTCACCACCCTGAGATCATGACCTGAGCTGAAATCAAGAGTCAAGATGCTTAACTAATTAAGCCACCCAGACACCGCTTGGCTTTTTCTTAAATAGCAGGCAACTTTTCCTTTTCATTATTCTTTTGTGTTTTTTCTTTGATTCCATTTTTTTTTTTTTAATTTATTTGAGAGAGTGTGTGAATGTGCGATGAGGGGAGGGGCAGAAGGATAGGGAGAGAAGCGGACTCCCTGCTGAATGCAGAGCCCTAACATGAGGCTTGATCCCAGGACCCTGAGATCATGACCTGAGCTGAAGTTAGATGCTCAACTGACTGACCCACCCAGGTACCCCTGGTTAACTTTTTGAGCTGTACTTACGATCATTGTTTATGCAGTGATGTATCAATAAAAAAGCAGCACCATGCCAAGGGCAAGGCAGTCGATGTTGTCTGCCCTGGGTGTAGGCAATAAAGAGGTGCACTATCTGTAATGAATTTAAAAATAGTAACAGACTCACTAGTTTTTTAAAAAAGTGTGTATCTTCCTTGTCCTTTAGATCTTGAGGATGTCATCTTTAATACGTTTGGATTTTAACTTAAAAGAGGGATTTTATTTTTTTGCCTATGGAATCATCATAGTGGAAGGTAACTTATATCCAAAAAACTTAGGATCCTTTTATATTGCTTCTATAGTACTATGGAGTATCTTTATGCTGTCAATTAGATTTCATTTAATAAGCTTTGGTGAGTTGTATCAGACAATATGGCTGGGTATAATTTGAGTTGGGGAGTAGATGGTTCCCTCCATTCTTCTGAAGCACTGACATTAGCAGGTATGTCTCCATTTAGGTCTGCCAGAATAGAAATGTCACTAATCATGATGGCTTTCAAGATGTAGGTGGGCAGCTACCACTCTTCTGCTTTAGATAACCATATTTATCCTCTCCAAGCTTAGGAAGTACAGAAACACACATAACACCACTGAGGTGTGCCCATAAAGAAAGGTGTGCACTTTAGAACAGAAATGAAAAAGTGTTTACTGTGATTGAGTTGAGAACATCACTGGTCTATAGGTTAGCTATCTTATGGGCTAAATAGGTTTTTATGGTTGTCAACTAACTTATCATCTTTCATATAATTTCTATAAGAAAGAGCATTCCAAGTTTCAAGAAACTCATTTGTGAATGAATTTTTATTCATTTTATTCAAGAACCCACACTTATTATATATATGAGTTTTAACTTGCTACTATCATTTTCCAGACCACGTTAAAAAAATAGCAAAATAAAACATGCATATACATTAGGCAGGTGTTACTGTAAGAAGCCATGTTCAGGTGACCCATCTTTATACAGGATAATGTGGGCTATGTTTTCAAGTAATGTGACTTAGAGATGCATTACTATTTGGCTCTCAAAGGAACTAGTAGCATAAGAAATGCAGTGTATGCATGGTAGTAGAAAACATGAACGTCGAAAGTAGAGTGAAGCTTTTTATTGTTACACAATTTGGCATAAAAACCCCTGATATTTAAATAGTGGGGAATAGGAATGTGTGGCATCCCTAAAGAATAAAACCTCCAATGATGTACTCAAATGTTTTCAGTATTTTTTTTTTAGTTATGTTGTATAATTGGACATTTTTAAAAAGGGAGCTTCAAAAATACCCTTCTTTAAAAAGATTTTATTTATTTATTTGTCAGAGAGAACTCACAAGCAGGGGGAGTAGCAGGCAGAGGGAGACGCACGCTCCCCACTGAGCAGGGAACCCGGTGCAGGACTCATCCCCAAGCGAAAGGCAGATGCTTAACCAAATGAGCCACCCAGACATCCCAAAAATATCCCTTTTAAGAACAAAAAACTAAAAAGTTCTATTTGTCATTTTTCTCATATGTATCATCTCATTAAATAGGAAATCTTAAGAGCTGGTAAGTCTAACCTTTTCTGTATGCTAGCATTTGAATCACCACTACTCTATCACAAGACCCTATAAGGACCATAACTAAACAGTTACCTGGTAACTGAAGTAAATATTTATAGGGTTCTAGAAGAATTCTTTGGACGGTTTCTTGAGTCTTCTCCATTGTTTTTAAATTTCAAAGCTGATCTGTAAAAAATGAGAAATATAATCTTAATAACTAAATTAACTTTGAGTTTCAAATGCAAAGGAATTTTATCTCAAGGTGTTTTTCTACAGACTTCCAGTTTTGTTGTATAAGAAAATTCTACACATATGAAATCTTGAAACATGCTAAGTGAAAGAAGCCAGTCTTCAGAACAAATCTATAAAGACAGAAAGTAGATTGATGATTGCCTAGAGTTGGGGTAGCAAGAACAGGGAGTATGAAGCTTCTTTCTGTAGGGATTAAAATATTCTAAAATTAGATTGTGGTGATGGTTGCACAACCCTGTATATATACCGAAATTTAAACTTTAAATGGGTGAACTATATATATGTAAATTATCTCTCATCAGGAAAAAAAAGGAAATCTTCAAGTGATTCATTAGTCAGCCTTAGTTAAAAAACTTATACTAAGCCTTTATTATTTTACTCAACCATAAAGGCTTAAATTGTTGACATCAAATCAATGTCAAAACAAATCCATAGAATTAGATACTTCTATATTTGATTTATTACATAAATTAGTAAGCATACTTTTTTCAAAGAGCATTAAGATGAATAAATTTTATATACTTAAAATGTAAGGGGAAAACTTCTCTCTTGTACTTTCTTTACAACCAATCCATTTCAGAGATTCCAATTTAAGATGTGCATTAACTTGAATGCAATTATGAAAAATATTAGCCTGTATCTACACACACACACACACTATTCCCTTGTAGTGATTTATTTTCTGAGTTTTACATTTACTTCAGTATTTTCTAGAATACCCCTCATGGTCTTCTACAATACTTCTTTACTGTTGAATCCAATCCCCACTTGGTTTCTTTTTTAGTACCTTTTGCTATTTTTATTTCTCCTTATCTTAGGAATCTTCTTTTCTCATTGCTCTGACATCTTGGGCACATTTTAGGTGGTTTCTCACCTTTATCTGCTTTCTTTTGCTTCTGTAACAATGATTTAGTATTCAGGATCATGAACCAAAGGATTGAAAAGTGAGATTTTAGTAATCTCCTCTTGAGTAACTAGGTGAAACAATCTTAAGAACTGAGCACTCCAGAGGCGCCTGGGTGGCTCAGTCATTAAGCGTCTGCCTTCGGCTCAGGTCATGATCCCAGGATCCTGGGACTGAGTCCCACATCGGGCTCCCTGCTCCGTGGAAAGCCTGCTTCTCCCTCTCACACTCCCTCTGCTTGTGTTCCCTCTCTCGCTGTGTCTCTCACTATCAAATAAATAAAATCTTAAAAAAAAAAACAAAAAACTGAGCACTCCAGCAAAGGAAATCATCTTAGCAATATGACCTCAAACACTCCATGTAGAAAAGTTTTACACCTGCCTTGACTGACAATTAATACCCAGTATGTCACAGAGGAAAAAATGTTCAGAAAATATTTTGAAATTATCTAAAAATTAGTAATCTCTCATCTATAGTTTATTATTTTATTTATTTTTAAAGATTTTATTTATTTGACAGAGAGAGATTGAGAGAGAACACAAGCAGGTCGGGCTGCAGCCAGAGACAGGGAGAAGCAGGCTCCCTGCTGAGCAGAGAGCTGATGCGGGACTTGATCCCAGGACCCTGGGATCATGACCTGAGCTGAGGGTAGATGCTTAACGACTAAGCCACCCAGGGGCCCCTCTTATCTATACTGTTTAACTTTGACATGTTACCCCATTCTTAAGAGATTAAAAAAGGAGAGATAACAAGCAGGGCGCCTGGGTGGCTCAGTCATTAAGCGTCTGCCGTCGGCTCAGGTCATGATCCTGGGCTCCTGGGATCGAGCCCCGCATCAGGCTCCCTGCTCAGTGGGAAGGCTGCTTTTCCCTCTCCCTCTGCCCCTGCTTGTGTTCGCTCTCTTGCTGTGTCTCTCTGTCAAGTAAATAAAATCTTTAAAAAAAAAAAAAGATGACAAACAGGAAGAATAATCACTTACATAAAAGATTACTGAACAGAAAGAATTAGGGGTAGGATAAACAAAAAAGGGCATCTTTTATATACTTCTGCATTTATTTTTTTTTAAAGATTTATTTATTTATTTTGAAAGAGTGAGAATGAGAGAGAGCGAGAGAGAGAGAGCACATGAGAGGGGGGAGGGTTAGAGGGAGAAGCAGACTCCCTGCTGAGCAGGGAGCCCGATGCGGGACTCGATCCCGGGACTCCAGGATCATGACCTGAGCCGAAGGCAGTCGCTTAACCAACTGAGCCACCCAGGCGCCCCTATACTTCTGCATTTATAACAGTTGGTAGCCATCTCTTCACAACTAGGTTGAGAGCAATAATCATGTTTATCTTTTTTCACAACTTCCAGAACACACTTAACTTAAAAATGAGTCCACCTTTCAAGAACTCTTTTGTCTCTATTTGGAGACAAGTATACTTTGCCCAGAGGTCAGAGCTAACTAACCTTTGTTCCAATTCTTAAGGCTTTGGTTGATGCCATTAAAATACAAAAATACTAGCTATTAAGTGAATCAATGTTCCTTTCCTAGAGGATGTTTATACACATGTATTCTCAGTAGCAGGAAAACACAGGAACCTCAATTTTTCTAGGTATTGAAAAGTAATCTGTTTTGTGTCTTCTTAAGTCTCAGGGGTTCTACACACTGTGGCCTATACCCTACCTGCTTCCCCCCCCCCCTTTTTTTTTTAACGCAGAGGACTCCTATTATGCCTAGAAATTTCAGCCATCAGGTACTAGACTCAAATATATTGAGACGTTAGTGTTACATGAATTCTACTAACTTGTTTTTAGATTAACTACAGAATGCCTCTGTGAGAGAGTCTGAAACTACTCACTTTCCAAACTGGAAAAGTGCCTTTAGTTTGTTCCTACAATTGATGGATGAATATTAATATAAAAATAGATTGTCCCCTCTGTGTGGACTATTACTGAAATAATCTCCTAGTTGGGCTCCCTGCATTTGCCCCTCAATCTAGACCTCTACTCTTCAGCCATCTTTGCAAAATTCAGATCTGGCCCTATTTCCCAACCAACCGAGAACCCTTCAAAGACATCCCTTTGCTCTTAAGGTAAAAACAAAACTCCATAACAAACTAAGATTGGACTACTCTCCCGCCTTCCCCACCCCCAGCTTCAGTTTTTCACACTTTATCCATTATTATTTTTGTTATTATGTTAGTTCTTCACACTTTAAAAGCTTCCTCTAGATACAAGGCTTTCCAACAATTTTTTTTTTTTGCCTGGAATGTTCTTTCCTTAGTTAACTCCTGCTAACCCACTCTCAGCTCGATCCTCACTCTACTTAAGCAAAATTCCCTATTTTAAATCATCACGTAACTCTCCTTTGTAGCAGTCACCACTGTGAACCAATTTCACACTCGTGTGTCCATTTTACTTCATATCTGTCTGTACGTATTTTCTATATGGTAGGCGCTCAACAGATATGTGAAGGACTGAATGAACAGAAAGTGCCTTCTAACGCGCTAGAGGATGAAATCAGGGCACACACTTGCAATATAAAATGTTAAAATACCGTGCAAGTTTTTTTTTTTTTTAAGGGAATGATCTGGTTTCAAAATTGCTAAATAGTGACATACAAAAAAAGTGTAGCTGTGAAACGCAGGATGAATCCTTCCACCCAAACTTTGGGAGATGATAAACCTGAAGAAAATTGCCCGAGATACAGGCTGTGGATTTAAATAACTTCATGGCCGATTTTTAACAGACTTGGCAAAAGGATTTCAAGGGGGTACTCTGCTAGTCCAGAGCCCGCAGGGTCGGTGAGGTTCCTGCTTCCTCTCCGCTCAGATGCCTCCTTCCGCCCTACTGGGTCACCTACAGCCCCTCCCCTTCTCTAGCAAGGATGGAAAATTCATACACAATCCGGTTCAGCATCCGGGTCCTCACCCTCCTTTCTTTCTTTCCTCTCGACCCCGCCTTCCAGCCTCCCCCGCCCTCATTCCCATCCGGGTTCCCCCCGGCCGCCACCACAGCCGCTCACGGTTCAAACGGTGATATCACAACTTTCGCGCTGCCGGTCCGGGAGTAGTAGTACCCAGCATCAACTTCCCACTTTATAGTTCAGACCAAGACTCCGCCTGACGCCTACATGGATCCCTCCCCCTACTTCACCACAGAACTCTCCACCCTCCTCAGCCGCCAGCGACACCGCATTACTCGGTGCAAGAAAATGCGCCATCCCGGTCACACTGCGCAGGCGTCGTTGCCGCCTCCCCACTGCTTTGTCGCCCCGCCCCTTCCCCCTCCCCCCCGTCTCGTCTCATGTAGACGCGGAGCATTGCGGATCTTGCAGTTCTCCTGGGCACGGGCTTGCGCATTGGCCCCAGAAGTTGGACTACATTTCCCGGGAAGCTTTGAGGCATAACTTTCTGTTTCCATAGAAGTGGTGGGAAAATGGCGTCGTTGTTTGTATCCCGGGGACCAATAAGAATAGAGTATGGGCGGGTTCTAAAGAATGTTAACCAATCCGAGGTCGTCTAAGAGGCCATCCGGGAAAGAGGTAGGGGAGGGGAAAATATCTAGGGGAGGGGAGAAAGAAGGGAGGGGGGGCACTTGGGGTTGGGGGGGGAAGCGATGTTTGCCCGTCAGTCGAGTCCGGAGTGAGGAGCTCGGGCGCCGGAGCGGAGGGAGACTCTTGAGCTTAAGCTTGCCGCCGCCACGGCCACCGCCTGGACCTTTGCCCGGAGGGAGCCGCAGAGGGTCTGGCGCCGCCGTCCTCTGGAGGGCAGCGCGATTCGGGGCCCGGGCCTCCAGTCCGGGAGGGATTTTTCGTCGTCCCCCCCTCCCCCCAGCGAGGGAGCCCGAGCGGCCGCCAAACAAAGGTACCAGTCGCCGCCGCGGGAGGAGGAGGAGCCGGAGCTTCAGCCTCAGCAACCGCTGGACCCGCCGCCCTTCTTCCCCCATCTCTCCCCCGGGCCTGCTGGTTTTGGGGGGGAGTAGGGGAGGGGACTCTGGACGTGCCAGGGTCAGCGCTCGCTTCCGCGGAAGGTAGGGGCATTTTCTGAGGCTTTCACCGTCTCGTAAGGGGGTCCTTTCGGGAGTCACCGGGCCCAGCCAAGGAGCAGGGGACGACCGCTCGGGGGTCTCGCCGGGCGCCCGGATTCGGGGCCTCGGCCTCCCGGGAGCCCCCGCCCCCGTGCGGTTGCCGAGCCCGAGTCGCCCCTCAGCCTGGCGGCCGCACACTCACCGGTTTAGCGGCTCCGGGCCGCGATGGGGGGCCCGGGCCGGCGCGGGGGGCTGTGCCACTTCCCGGCCCCTCGGTCCTCTGGCGGTCCCCGCGGTCCGGCAGCCGGGGATCCCCCTCGCACTTGTCTGGTCTCCGCCTCGGAACGGGACGTGGACAGCGGTTGTGCGGTGGGTCGGTCCTGCCCGCGGCCCTCCGGCCCGCCCGGCCTCTCCGCCGCCCCCACCCGGGGCCCCTTGGGCTCGGGCCTGCTCCGGCTCGGACGCTGGGCTGCGCGACCCTCTGGGGCGCCGACCCGCTCGGCCGGGCCCGGGGGCCCTCCGGGAGGACAGCCGGCCCCGCGCCGGCCCCCGGGCTTGTTGTGAGTTTCTTCTCTGACAGAAATGGCGTCATTGTCGGAGACGGGAAACTCCGTCGGGTCCCGACAATGGGGACGGGAAGCTGCCGAGCTGTGTAGGTGGCTGGGTTTGCGGGGCTGGCGAGGCCACAGGGAGCCCCTCATCGGCGTTTCGTGTTTCGGAGGCTGACGTCCGCTACGGCTCTTGCTTCGGGGTTCAGGCTTCGCTCGGTTCCCACCGCCTCCGCCAGTGCAGAGGGGTGCCTGTGGTGTTGACCGGGTGTCTTTTGTTTCCCCTCCAGGTGCAGGTGAATCTGGTGTTTTCGAGGGGATCGCGGTCCCGGAATCATCATGAAGGTAAGATTGCTTACAAAAAATGACCTCTGGGGTTCTAGAATTGGGGAAGTGGGGAGGGGGTTGATCGAGGTCGTGTGTGGGGCCTCCGCTTTTTGCCGAGGAAGGTGTGTTTGGTAGCTTGGAGCCCGAGCCGCTTTCCCGGGAGACGATGGGGGTCAGTGGTGTGGCTCTCTGTCGGCTTTGCTGTGGAGTTGGGGCCACTTATAGGATGTCGCACTGAGCATAATTCTCCCATAGAGAATGTCTCTTTTTGCAGGGTAAGGCAGGAGTAACTGCATGAAATAAAGTGTTTTAAAAGGTAAAACAGAAAAAGCAGGTCAAGTAATCTGACTCTAGAAACTGAACTGTGTGGTGGTTCTAGCGATTACACTGATGAAAGAAAATCTCGTTTATTGTGTGAACAGTACTGTGAATTTTTAGCAGAAGACCTATTCGGTTAGCCCTGAAAATAATCTGAATTGAAAGATTTTTAAAGAGGATCTTTGTGATCTTTACACAACTCAGAGATAGCAGTTTTTCCTTGTATTTCCTGGGATTTAGGATTATATGGTTTATTTTTCTTTGTTGATCCATTTAGTCTGTAAATTGTCAGATGTTGTGATAAAACCAATGTGGATTGATGTGGAAAACCCATGGCCAGGTTCCTTTTAAATGTAAACATGTTAACTGAATGGAGGATAGTGTGTAAAAAGTAGAATTTACTTAATTGGTGGAAGAGATCATGGCAGTGAAAGCATAGGGTTTTTTTTTAGAGACTATGTAATTGAATGCTGTCATTTTTTAATACACTGGAGAATAAAAAGCCTTAGATATCTGGCCTTTCGAGATTCAACTGGTGGAACTTAGAAACTAGAGATATTTTTCATCTATGACAAATTCAGAAGTGCTTAAAAGGGTAGGGTGTGTTCACAAGTATAGAAATGCATAGAATAGTATGTGAAAATGTAAATGTTGTCTACTTTTGATAGTTCTTTTGAATTATTTGAAAACAAGTTTTTCTGTTCAGGATCGACTGTTTTTATAGTACTGCAGCTAAATGAAAATTTATAATGCTTGTGTTTATGGAAGAAAGTAAAAGCTGTGACTACTTAAATATGTATCTCTATACAAAGTAATTAAGTTTAGTGTAGTTTTTCTTTTTTTTTTTTTAGTTTTTTTTCTTCTTGAGTTTGGGGTGCTGTAAACTACCTGAAACAGTTCATATCTGTTGAATTCGTGTCTCATCTTCATGTAAATGAAAAAAATAATCAGTGATGTTGCAGAAACATCCCTTTTGTTAGTCACAGATGCTATCTATAACTCCTGGGACCTGTGTAAAACAGTGACAAGTGAATTTGTTAGAAAAAACCGTATATCTTCCTTGGTGTTGGGTGAGAATTTCTTAAGAAAAGTGTTGGGTTGAATAACATATAATAAACTCAGAAGCTGAATAATACAGGATTTAGTTTGTGATAGATACTGCAATCTGTCATAGTTCCCAGTGTACTGCCTGGCATATCTTGGGTACTCCGTTAACGTTTGATTAAAAGAAATGTAGTAAGTTGAAGGTCCTTAAGATTTAACTTTTGTTTTCTTTCCTTTTCTTCTTTTCATTTCCTTTTTTTTTTTTTAACTTGTGTGTTTAAAAAATGAAAGTACGTTGGAAACTTTAGCCTTAAAAGTGTCATAGTATTAGGCAAATGCAAATTTTGGTATCATTTTAGAACTACTGATTTTAAGTGCTTAGCATTTCCATTAACACTGCCTTTTTAAAAAAGGGTACTATTGATGTTGAAAGGAAGAGTTATTAAATTTCTAATTTTATACAAGAAGAACTTCCTGTTATTGTATGTATAGTAAGTCTTCTCATTGGGAGTCTGCTGATAATCAGTAGTACTACAAACTTAGTGTATTTTTTTTTTATTTTTTTATTGTTAATGTTAATCACCATATATTATATCATTAGTTTTCGATGTAGTGTTCCATGATTCATTGTTTGTGCATAACACCCAGTGCTC